CTGTTCCTCATCACTCTTCTATCTATTGCACACTCACACATACCCGTGTACAGTCTAAAGCATTTCCCAGGTCGGTTTCGCCCAGCTCTGCCTGCCCTCTGGCTGGCTGAAGCCTTGGAGATTGGAGTTATCACCAGAGATTCGATGGCAGTGCTGGGATTATAGGCTCGAAGCTTCACAAACGCACAGTCGATGACAAACACAACTCCGTTTATAGTGATGGAGGTCTCTGCAATGTTGGTGGCCACCACGATCTGAAAGTCAAATAAAACAGTTGTTACAATTCACTTAGCAGACGCTTTTATCCAAAGCGACGTACATCAGAGAGTAAGTACAACACAAATCCATTCATACACCGCCACCGAAGCAGCGACGACTCTACCAACTGAGCCACAGCCGCCCCAGTTGTATATCACACCATTGTACAGCTGTAGTTCCCTGTGTCAAAACCTGGACAGTTTGAGTAATTCAATGAGGTCACTCTTAGAATTTTCTATATGACTTACTTGGTTCAAACCTAATATGAATGATATGTGTGTAGATATGTACTTTCAATGGAGGCCATGTTTGCAAGTCATTATAAAGCATATTTTTTTTGCACTATTAACTATCATCCCAGCTATTTATAGTAAGTCCATAATAATGTCTTAGGAACAGTAATTTGAGCAGCATTAAAAATGTGAAATGTAATTGAAACTGAGTTTGATTATTAAGATCATTTTGTTGGATTTGGAAGTGTAAACTGAAAAAAGGGATGCACACAGACTTTCTTCTGATTTCTTCTATTCATAAATGCACAAAAACAAATCACTATAATGACCTTGCGGACAGATGTCGGGGCCCGCTCAAAGACCTTCATCTGCTCAGCGTAAGGTAGACCAGAGTACATTGGCAAAATTCTGAGGTGTTTCTTCATGCCGTATCGTGACAGAGTCCTGGCCTGCTCCTGAAGTAAGGACACCACTTTCTCCACCTCTTCCTGAGAGAATGATCACAAGTATAGTGTGATTGCATATAATCTATATGCTTTCATTAATAGAAGTTAAGTAGTTCTAAAGTTGTGGTCACTAACCTGCCCTGTTAAAAATGCCAGGACATCTCCGTCATCCTCTGTCTCGTGGATCTTCATCACGTCTCCACTGTGGCCTTCACATAGTCTGGGACAGGACTGAGAATAAACAAGACGTAAGACGTTGCTCCGTTACACAGAATGCAAAATGCAGATCCTGCAGCATTTCCTGGATTGTGCACTTTGACTACCTGACAGTGTAAAAGACGTCCACTGGAAAGGTGCGTCCTTCAACTGTCAGAATTCCACACGTGTCCTTGTTTGGATCGCCAGACTCATTCAGATTGAAGAAGTCATGAAATTTCTTCACAGAAAAATGACATTAGAGTAAGAAAGGGGAACATTAACATATTAATCCTGCCTTCAGTCTTTCATTCTAATAAGGATGTAACATACCGTGGCAGTATTAGTTAACCATTTGCATAAAGATAAAAGCTGTTCTTTGAACAGGAAGTAGAGTAGATGTCTGATGTTGCATTTCAGCTGATTTGTTTAACGCTGAGCACAGTCGTGGCCTGATTGTGTCGGTCTTTCATCAGTGTATTGTCAGTACAGCAGGATCTGACCTAACATCAACTTTTCCTCTGACTGTGTCTCTTTGTTTCTTTATTCTCGCTTATCAAGCATATCTGCTCATCTTAACGATGTAGTCACCTTGGCATCCAGAGTGGCAGAGGCCACGATCAGCCGCAGGTCTCGGCGCTTTTTCTGAATCTATGGAAGAATCAGAGACGCAGTTGGTGCAGAGAAGAAAAGTCACAAGGTTAAAAAACGAAACAGAAAGCGTGTTTCTCTGGGCTCTTTGGTAATAAAATCTTCTGAAATTACCTTTTTCAGTAGACCAATGGCTATGTCTGTGTACAGGGTTCTCTCATGTGCTTCATCCAGCATCAACACACTGAAAACAACAAAAGAAAACACTGGTAGGAATACAACCCAGTCTGAACTTTAATGACAAGTCCACATGTTCCACAAAAGCGTTCCTTTTTTCCGCACCCAAAACGTTGCAAGACGGCTGAAAACTGTCTCACTGTCGTTGATAACAGGAACTATTAAATACAACAGAGCCATTGTTAAAGATATTAGCAACCTCCAGTAAGTCACAATATCCACAGTGAATACTACATCCTGATGAGAATGGAATTTTGAGACCAATAAGGATACAAACTTTCACAGATAGGAGACATACAGTGAACGCTGAGTGGTGTGGCGTTGATTCCAGGCGGACACACACACTAGAGCTCGGTGTTAGTCTGGTCATATATTCTGTTTCATGCATGTTTTAGTCGAGATTTATGTTATTATGTGCTGTCCAGTATGGTTGCTGACTGACACCTTTTGTCATTGACGTTTTCATGCTCTCAGTGCAAGGCAAATCCCCTTCGGGACAACAAAGGTTACAGTCATTCCTTCATTTGTGAGAGCAGCAATGAAACACAGCTTTTTCTGCGTGCTTTTGTTCAGACAGGACAATGCAAAGATTCTCAGACGGCGGCTTTCTTCAACAAAAAAAAGTGTTTAAAATGATCACACATGCACAGGACAGTCTTGTTGGAGCACATGAAAACAGAACTGTGTGATTTACACTATTTTCTAAATTGTTTTCTGCATTACAGGTCCTGTTCAAAAAGATTACAAATTGTAGCACTTGGAATAAAATAACGCAAATACCAACTTGTCTCTGTTATAAGCCCATATCTGCTCAAATATATCCCCAAATCGCAATATCGGTCAGCGCTCTGAGTACTAAAACAGCTTACATCATGCCTTAATCGAATTCATGTACCTGTATTTTTTCAGAAGAGGATCAGACATCATCTCCCGGACCAGCATGCCATCTGTAAGGAACTGAAGCACACAGGTTCAATTAGGTGAAGGAAGTAAACATAAAAAACAGTTGGCAATGAAGAGTTAAGGACGCAGCTGAGGAATACAATACCTTGATCCTTGTGGCATGGGGATCAGAGCAGTCATCAAATCGGATGGTGTAGCCCACCTCATGTCCCAGCAAGGCCCCCCGCTCCTCTGCTAAACGGTTAGCTACCTATCAGCAGGAAGGAAAAGGGGTTGAAAGTACAGAATATAAACGTGTGTCCCTTCAGTCAGTGTGAACTCAAGTGACTTGCAGTGAAATGACATTGGCAGGCGGTGACAGAGCAGCTGAGCGTTAACGGAAAAGTCAGTACGGGTCTTACAGAGATAGCAGCCACACGTCGGGGCTGTGTCACTCCAATCACCTTCCCCTCTGCTGCCCAGCCAGCCTCCAGCAGGTACTGAGAGGAGTCAGATGACAAAAAGAGAAGGTAGATTTAAAATAATGAAAAAGAGCTAAAAGATGAAGACATTGATGTTGCAGAAAAAGCACACACTGCATAAATGAAACCCTTTACTGATGTGGTCCAAAGCCTGCTCAGTAAAAATATGGCCACTTAGCATCAAGACAAGGTCATATTAAAACACAATGGGAGTTAAACCACATGAAGGGTACCAGTCCACTGCGGCAATGTTGTGCCTTTAGCGGTTAGACTGTGTGTGTGTGTGCATATTTGGAGGGTAGGCGAATAACAACAACAACAACAAACATCAAATCTCACTTTTCTTCTAAGTAATCCTTAGTTTTTTTTTTTTTTTCCCAACCTGAGGTATCTGTGTTGTCTTCCCACATCCTGTCTCCCCAACTATGATGACAGTCTGGTAGCTCTCCACCAAATATAAGATGTTGTTTCTGTGCTGGAGAGGAAATATAGAACATGATAGTTTAATGAAACATCACAGAAGACACACACACACACACACACACAAGTATTGTTTGGTGAATGCGTGTGTAGGGTCGCCGTGAGACCTTGAAAACGGGAAGTTTCTGTCGTTGTTTCTCGATGGAGAGGGCGGTGTGCGGGTTGAAGACGATGGGGGAGCCTGTGGTCTCGGAGTTGAGCTCGCGTTCCTCGGAGATTCCCGGCGCCTCAGACCCTGGAGCCAAACAGATGGTGCAAGCAGAGATAACATGTTTTATTTAAATCTCAGCAGGCTGAAGCTAGAAGAGGAAGATAGCTTAAATGGTTTTTTTTTTTTTTTTAGTGCAAAGTGCTGACATATAACCAAGGACATGGAGGAAACCAAACCTTCACTGTTTCCCTTTACATAGCTTGAATTCAGAGGTTGTTGTTTTTTTTTTTGTGACTCTACGTTGCAAAAGAGTTGCATGTGATATTTTGGCAGGTTCCAAACTTAAATTCCGCAGAGGTAACGTTACCGTGGCTGGAGCGAAGTGGCTGCGGATGTCACGTAAGCTGCAGTGTGAACGTGTCGGCAGCCACGCCGAGGCGGACTCAACTTTAATAGCAGCCGGTGGTTCATCTATGCAAACCCCGAAATACATGCATTAAAATGCCGTATAAATGTCTATTTTCGTACTTACCCGGCTTCCAAAATTTCATCGTGGAAAGGGGAGCCGCCATCTTGGACTCTACGTCACACGCGTGTGTGTGTGTGTGTGTGTGTGTGTGTGTGTGTGTGTGTGTGTGTGTGTGTGTGTGTGTGTTTTCTCTCCCTCAATCCAATATGACGTCATGATTTGAGCGAGAGTTTATGAATGATGTCAAAGCCGTCTGAGATGATGTTGTCTCATCATGACCTGCAACCAACTTTGTTCAGCAACTCAGTTCCTATGTTTCCGTTCTGCTAAAATACACCCAGACTAAACTTAGAACAAGTCATGTAGTTTTGACTACTTTACATTTACACAACAGCTAAAGTTACTCGTTTACATTCAGGATCAGGGATTTGCAAGTCATTCATACAATACGGTGGCAACAATAAATGAAGTAGTTGCAATGAGATCAATTTATATTCATGATATGAAGATAGAAGCTACATAGGGATACGATAAACTGATCATCGAAATTCTACATCTCAATAAAAACAAAAGCCGTCTGTTTGAAAATGGAGGCCAAATAAAGCCCATGTTTTAATGATTCCCAAAAAATTTGATCATAAAATACAATCCTTTCAAACACCAGCTGTGTATCTAACATGACAGTATCATTGCAAGAACTTTTTGAGAACTGGCTTTTTAAAGTTCCCTATAAAATACTGAGAGATATGTTACATCAAACAAGATATAACACACACACACAAATAAATCTGCGTAACACAAGGTGGATTTGACGAAAAGGACGTTGTACAAAATTTACAGACGAGTTTAAATTAATTTAAAAAAAAAACAACAGGTAAGACTTTGATCTGGAAGCTACATGTGAGAAACAAATAATACATTTAAATTAATTCTACCCTCCTAACTAACGGCATCAGTAAAAGACATCTAAATGTACCAACAGCAAGTCATGGCCGTGCACAGATTGTTGTTTAGCTTCCATCTGTGAACATTTGCATCTGAAAATGGCATGCATGTTTCCTCCGTCTTTGCTCTCGAGGAAACTTTTTGGATTGACATAACTTAAGTTTCTGACTGAAGTAACGTTCTGTGAAACTACTGACAGACACTTGCATTGGGAGATCAGCTGATATGTGTACCTTACCGCTATCATTTTTGTTATATGGTGTTAAAATTGGCTCAAGTGAGATTTAAGCCGTGGTAAGCTGCAGCATGTTTCATATTTGTTGGGCTCATACGCTTTAGAAGAAGTAACTGCTCACAGATTTTATATCAAAATGCTGTGTTCATATCCTATGAGCAAAAAAAGTAAGAACAAGGACAACTCAACCCTTAACATCACATAATGTAGCTGGTTACCCTAATAGATCTGACCATGTGCTTTACAGTTATTATTTTTAAACTCTGATTATTTTCTTAAGTCAAATAAGTTATTTTAGAGTGAAATCTAAGACCAATTATTTAAAAGTTGGCACAAACTAAATCCTCTAGTAGTTCTTTAAATCCACTAGGATGCTTTTTTTTTGTCCCGGCACTAAAAGGCATCTTTGTAACACAGATTGACCTGATTGATTCATTTAAGTAGGTGTTTTTTTTATTTTTGCAGTCTAAAATCTGTCACTCCTCTAAAAAGAAGGATCCAACAAATACCAAATCCCTCCTCAGATTAAAATCCGTAGAACTGCAACTAATCTCATCTGATTTTATTAGTTTTCTTAAAATGTTAGTGTTTTTTTTTGTTTTTTTTAACAGAGGTGATGACAAGCCAGTAATGAAGGAAATAAAACATTTATGGGAAGTGTAATGGAGGGTTGCCTTGAAAGGAACCCCCACATTTGAGAGATGTACAGCATTTCAACACGTTCGTCACGGTCGTGTTGCAGGATCTTGTGAATCAAACTAGGATTCCCATGATACACTGCACTGACTGAAAAGTCATACTGAATGTAGGAGTGTTTACACCCCTCAAGTCATGGAGTTCCTCTTGTCTTGACAATTTACTTCAACAGAAATGTTTGTATTTAGTGTCCCATGGATTCCTCTCAGTCAAAATGTAGAGCTGTGTAAAAGATTATCCACACCACCTGAGACAGAGAGAAAACAAAAACAAGCAATTAGACACCAGAGTTCAAACCATATGCCTCACATGCAGCAGATGTCGAACTCAAATACTAAAAAAAATTCATTGTAATGTATTCAACACAAGAATCAGATCTGTAACTGTCAATTCAGATGATAAAGCCTATTCATTACACTGTAATACAACTTCCAAATATATTCATAATAGGTTTAGTAAAGTCTTGATAAATCTGTCAGACGATGACATTCAAGTGGGCCAAGTTTCACTCCAGAAATAACATCATTAGCTTCACTTGTGCTTTTAAAAAGAAGTAAAAGAATCAACCAGCTTTGGTCATAAGGCTGGCGTTCTTAGGAGGATCAAGTAATGACTCTGGTTGTTGCCTAGAAGAAGTCAACATCAGTGAGACTTCTTCAATGTAAGGTCTGTTATTATCATATTGTTTTGCATTAGCCTTTGCTAAACAATGCCTTCTTTTTTCTTCAGCTATAACTACCTGAAATACGACATCCTTTTATGTCGTATTTCAGGTAGTTATAGCTGATTTTAAACGAGTCATTGAAGGACTATCCCCACATTTCAGTCATCACAGACATTTGTCATTAGGCACGGCCCAAAAAGATGGCTCAATAGTACAACAATAGGAGGACAGTATTCTAAAGACAAGAACCCCATACTGAAAAAAACACTACATTTCAAGAAGACAACACTGAATATGAAGGGAAAAAAAGTGCACGATTTAAACAGTTTTCCAAATTACAGAGTAATTATCAAGTCCTGTTTAAAACTATAGACTATGGATAACCTATAGACCAGTGGTTCCCAAAGTGGGGGTCGCGAGACACTGGGGGGGGGGGGGTCGCAAGTTGCCTTCCAAAAACAAATGCAAACTGGAAATGACTTGAAATTACATATTTGACCTATTACTGTGAAATTACATACACAAAATGTTGCTCGATTAGGTTAAGGCTGCAGTATTTTTTTATTGTTGTTCTAATGTCAGTGTTTAGGATAAGCCCATTAGTGTGTGCTGCTGTGTGCACCATTATCGCATCGCTATTTTGGGGGTCGCGGGATGAAAAGTTATAGACTATCCAACGGTGATGTAATATAACTATAATGACATACGATACCAATGCACTTTCTAAAAATTCCCCTCCCACAACAGCAGTGCTCTATGACATTCAACTGTATCCAACATCCATGAGGTGGCTCTTAATAATATGGTCGCCTTGGAATGTCTTTATTTTAAATTTTTTTTTTTTTTTTGCACCCTTACCAGAAACAGAGCAAAAGACGTCATGAAACCTTCTTTGGTGAGTTCCCACGTTCCACCATACTCCTCCTCATCAATCTGCTGAAAGCTGCTGAAGTATACGTACAGGACCCCGGCATTGATGATGCAGAATCTAGAAAGGCAATCACATCCAAGATGTTAACTTCCCTAGTGGGTATGAAGCGATACGTATACATTTCTGGACTCAGTGAAATGTTAGGCGGACAGAGGTCGTCCCGTGATACTTACATGGCTATTCCCAGGAAACCTTTCAACGGCGCGACACCCCATATCACGCCAAGGATTACTGCGATTATTTGCCGAAGCCAGTAAATCACATCTAAAAACTCGTCCTGAAAAAGAAAAATGTTAATAAGTAGATTATTGTAGGAGGTGCCTGAGGTGACAGGTGGAATTCAGATAAAGGGAAATCCAGCTCGATGGAGGAGGGAGTCCACACTTTTTTTTTTTTTTTTTTTAAGTTAATGCATTAATTAATCTGAAGATGAATTAATAACCAGGTGGATATATGTTTGATGGTTGAATAATCATTTGTGCAAATGCATAAAGCCTTCTCTGGCTGCAGCCTCTGACGTGCTTTGCTTTTTTGACACTGTGAAGACTTCACTTAAAGAACTGATAAATACACAACAACTTATTTATTTTTTCACATTCAAAAGCAATTTCAATGACTTGACCCCTCATGGGGAAACAAAGACCCAGCATCATCAACACATTTAGTACAGCCTTTGTTTTTGCCTTCAACAGTAAACAACACCCTTGACCCGCAGAGGGATTTTCTCTTCAATTTGACAGTCAAATGAGATTAATGCTTAGCCTTAGCATGGCAGCTACCTTTAAAAAAAAAAAAGTCATCTTCGCAACACCTCACAACAACTTCGGAGTCATGAGACCTTCGGCCGTAACAAGTTAACAGGTAAGCTTTATTTTTTAAGAGGGCAAGTGACTGACCTTCTCTTCCCAAACAGCATTACTGTTGAAGGCTTTGCTCCATGTGGACTGTTTTACACCCCCATTCAGCAGATGACTTTCTTCTTTCCGCTTTAAACTGCTCGTCATTCTTGGCTGTTTCCTTCGGCCACAAACAAATGAAAGTAAGAATCCAAACCGGATGACACCTGCAGTTAGATTTAAGCCTCTAGCTTTCACTAGGGCAAGAAACTACAGTGAAATATTAGTTGGTATTAAGGGAATGTAGGCTCCGCTGATCTGACAGATTTCAGACACTGACCGAAAAAAGGCCAAGTGAGCATGCGCAATATTTCTTTGACCCCAGCGCCAGACAGCCAATCAGCGAGTGCGACGTTTCTTGCACTGCTGTTGTCAGAATCGGCTTAAATCCGACATCGACCCCCAGTGTTTAAAGACTGTAAATGCTCTAAAATGCAGCTATAAGTGAATGTTTTTAGGGTATCAATTTTACTGTGAGAGAATCTTGCTGTCAAATAAATTCAAAATCATTCAGGCACAAAATCTTTTTTTTTTTTGACCAACTTTTTATTTATTTTGACAGCCTTTACAGGTGTATATCATCCAATAAATCCATTAGGTAGTCATTCATACATCCATTTCATTGTCATAATTACAATGCAAAAATTAAATTTAAAAAAATTAAATTAAAAAAGAAGAGGATGACAACACAACCCTGCAAACCTGGAGTTTTCATAGCCCCCCCCCCCCCCCCCATGGGTCTTGTATTGTAAATAAACAAAGAAGCATTTACAGTAAGTTTTTTTAAAAAAAAAATATATATATATAGGCAGCTCAAATTAACAAAAAATAAAAGGAGAAATAATAATCATAGCAATAACGGGATTAAACATTTAAATACCACAGTGTAGTGGAGAAAGAAAAAAAACAATCAAACCAATAACAAGATCATAGTATAGATCTGACAGAGTTAACAAAATCTTTTTTGATTTGTAATAAGGCAGCGTAAAGCCATTATTTTATTTTTTATTTGTTTTCTCTTTATACGTCTATCATTCTATCTAAAGAGTCAGTCAAAAATCCAAAGATTTAGTTAATAACCATATGTGGGGGGAAAATATCAACAGAAAAATCCCCCGTAAAATGAGAGAATATAAAAACGCAGCTCTAAAATGTGTGTACGGATTGAAAATGTACTTTTTACATTCTTTATCATGAATTAATTCGTTTTAAATCAAAACTATATTTAGAAACACTGCGTCAGGGGATACCATGAAACTATTCTTTCTTATGAAACTGACCGAAATGTGCTTTTTTCATGTTAAATTCTTGAATTTGTTACTGCTTCAGATCTTTGAAGATATTTTTAACAAAACAAAGTAGCCTACAATCTTCTTTCTAAAAAAAACACACAGGGAAACCACTTAAGTGTTTTGATTGTTTTTTAATTGCAATAAACTTACAATAAGCAGCCTACTTAAACTTTGATTGATATATTGGTTGTATAAGAAACTGGTTTAGACTCATTAGACTGGAGTCATTGAGACCTTTCTGTCGTTCTCTCTGTTCTCCAGCAGAGGGCCTACTTCTTAATGGTGCACTTCAGTCCACTTACAGACAGTCTTATCTAGGTCCTGACCAACACTTCTGACTGAAAATAACCCCAATGGTTGACCCTTTCCTAATTGAAAGATAATACTGAAATAACCCTCTTAATGTAGTTATTTGGCCTATAACCTCACTATATGGCTCTGACAAAGCCTGTGTCCTGAAACAGGCTGGATATATGATATTATAATAATCGACCGTATGTGATGTGATTATAGGGAAGAAGAGAATTCCTATGAGATTTGCACTTAAAACACGGTTGAAGGGTTTAAAACTGGCCCTCTAAGTGTGACTCACTCATGAAACTGGGGGTTGTGTCATCATCTTTAATTTTAGTCTAATTGGATGCATGCATAATAAACACAGCTTCATGGAAAATAAATTAGAGTTTCGGTGTTGGTCTTAAATTGTGTGTTTCTTTAATTGGCTATACTCAGTAAGTTCATACTTCTAGAGACCTGGATGTGACTAATATGTAGGCAGATTTAAATCAAATTAATTTTACTATGAGAAAGGGAAGAAGGTCAAACCTCAGCTCTTTGTGATAGTAACTAATGTGATTTTTTTTAAATCCACATGTGCTTTTTGTAGAGGGCAGGAACATATTCTAAATAGGAACTACTATAATATTATACGTTCAAGTGATTTGATGAACACTACCAGTCAAAAGTTTGGACACACAACAGTAACAGTACTATCAATAATACAGTAAACTAAATTATATCATTATAATATAGCTACTGTAAGCTGTATTTAGGGCACACCTGCTAATAGAAGGGTTTTTCGTTAACCAGGAGTTCACAGGTTCAAGTCCCGGTGCGGACCAAAATCTGGAAATTGGTTTCCAACTGGAAAGGTGCCAGTTCACCTCCTGCAAGGCACCAAACTCTCTGACATCTCTCCATTAGTGCACGTCTATAGGATGCTGTTTGTGCATGTGTGTGTATTTCAGCCTATGTGTGTAGCATGTTTAACAAGTGTAAAATTGAATTTCACCTCGAGGGATTAATAAAGTATGTCTTCTTTATTGTCATCATCATAAACATTATAAATATCACAAGCGCCTATGTTCATGAAAAAGCTGGGTCTTTAGCTTTTTCTTAAAGGTGCAAAGGGATTCTGCAGATTCAATGGGTAATTCATCCCCCCACTGGGGGGTGACATAGGAGAAGGGTCTAGCTAGAGACTTAGGGCCCTGTTGTGAAGGTTAGACCAAATGCTTTTCATTGGCAGAGCGGAGTGGGTGGGAGGGAGTTTAGACCTGAATGATAATGTCTAGATAAGGAAACCGTTTTTTTGTTGCTGTTTTGTAGTTGAGCAGCAGAGCAATAACTGGTAGATGAACAGCGGAGTGATAAGGTTTTAAGGTGGTAACAGGTTGCATAACAAAACAGTCAGGAGGGTCTATTATCCATTTTTAAACCAGCATGTGGAACAAAAGCAATGAATATAAACTGTTATTAGTTGTATTGACACTTTAACTGCATGTTTTTTTGATGAAGTGAATCAATTAACAGCATCAGCTCCTGCCATGTATGAGGAACATGTTCCTCATAAATGTCTGTGTAAAGCGGGTATTGCCAGAGAGGCACCAAAAGAGCCCCATGTTCAATGTATGACAGCTCATATCGGCAGCTAAATTATGTGCACTTTTGTAGAGAAATTGGACCACTTGTGTAATATCAACAAGGATACTGCATCTTATTGGCCTGATCGTAATGCCTTATTTCTATGTGAGTCCTTGTGTCAAAACATGGATGTACAGGCCTACGTGTAAATGAAATAAAGTTATAATGTAGGTGTCAATGTGCCAAGGAGGTGGCACTTTTTAGTCGTGTTGCTCATTTCTATTCCATTTTGATTATGTTGTTTTTTCTGCTATGTCTCCTTTTTCATTCTTTCATTCATGCATGTCTCTAAATAGTTGAAAAGGTCAAAATAAGAATTTGATCACAAAATAGAAAGTTATCTGTTGTAAAATATACACAGACATCGGATTTATTACACACTGTGCTACTCTACTTGTAAACAACAACCGGTCATGTTTTTCAGAATATTGTGTTCGTGCTTATGTTGAGCTTTCACTATTGTGTCCAGTGTGTGTTTATGTATGGTTGAGGTGTGAATGTAACTTTTGACATACTGTGTTAAGTAGGCTTCTATCTCTTTAAGAGGGGGGTCACCTGGGGAGGGGGACAGGTGTGAGTGAGCTGGTGTAACATCCCGTTAACCCAGGACAGTGAGGGGGGGAGAGACTCTTGTCCCTCTCCAAAAACTTAATCACGACCCCCTTCTGTTGTCAGGTCAAAGTCATGATGGGGATGTCTGACTCACTTCTGCTCTGAGCACGGTGGAGCTCGAGCTCTTCACGCCAACTCCACCGTCAGTGACGTCTGCGTCACGTGTCCGTCTCTTCCCTCGGTACGTCCGTCGTATTTTCCTCCCCTCCACCGCCTGCTTCAACACTGAGACACTCGAGATAAACAAGCGCAAAAAAAAAAAAAAAAAAAAGGGGGTCGTTGAAGGGACCGGTCCGGCTCCTGTGTCCCGCTTATCACCAGCCGATGGACAGAGGGGCTTACACCGAGCCTAAGTTACCATCAGTAAAGCCCAAACCTCCCGTCAGTCTGAGCACATATCATTGTAAACTTTTTAAATCCTTCGCTGCATAAACTGCGCTCCGACAAAGCGAGGTGAGTGTGGTTTTCTGATACATTTACGCAAGTGTTTCACCTTTCCCAAACTTGTGTGTGTGTGAGCCATTGTAAAGGCTTACCTTTGCGGGGCTGCGCTTTGGCTCAGCATTGCTGGCCAGCTGCATGTCGCTTGCTTAAAATGGCGACAGCCAACGGGGGGAGAGAGAGAGAGAGAGAGAGTAGTGGTGTTTTGGGGGGCTAGGGTCTTACCTTCCGACTCTACTTTGAATTTGCTCCGATATTTTAAAACCTGTCATGTAGACAAGTTGGGGCTCACTCCTCCTAACTTGAGCGGAAGATGAACACGCATCATTTTCGGAAATGTTTGACGCTGCTGCGCTCAGGGACTGACGCTGTAGTCCAAACACTTTGTGCTTTTGGTATTATTATAAAACACCGGGTTTATCTACATCTTTCGAGACATGCATTTCAGTGTATGAATAGCAGGGTGTTGTCGTTTTCTTTTAAAGTCAAGGCATAAAGATATTTTTGTAAACATCCGGCATATTCCCCCCCATTTCTTCAGTGTGGGTTATGAATGAAGAAGTAAGAAATAACACTTTGACTTGCAATTAGTTATGACTAACGATGTTTTCAAAGTTGTCCTTTAGAAATGGACAAGTTGTACACCAAAATGCTTCATCCACAAGTTTGTGTTATCAGGCCTATTTGTCATAATTTAGTGTGTTCACAGGCTGTAGTTTAAAATCCATGCTGAGATACTTTTTTTTTCATTTTTTTTTAAAAAAAAAGATTTATAAACTATAAGCAGAGTTCAAGCTTTATTCCTTGTTGCCCAACAGCCAGTTATGAGTTTGCTAGCTGTTGTTGCCTTGGTTATTTATCATGTCAGTGTTGTCATGAGTGTGTGATTCCAGGGATTAGAGCAAAGCTTTCCCAGACAGCTAGTTTGTGTCTGATGTGTCCACGTGAGTCCCAGGCATAGACAAGCAGCTTAGTCCAGCTATTTCTCTATCAGTGTTCACATTTCACTATTAGAAAAAGGCCAATTACAA